ATTAATATTAAAGTCAGCTTAAATTGTAATAGAAGGGTTGAATACAGCACTAATGTTACACATTTAAAATATAAAGATAAGAACATTAAACCTATCTATTGCACTGTCATTAAAATATTATCCTGCAACACTCAAATCCTGCTTGAGTGAAAAAATAATTTCTTACTACAGAAAAAAACCAGAAAGGGATACAGTTCAGTCTCTGATCAGAACCCAGGGACAAGAAGAAAGACCTTCTCATGTGTGATCTCCATTGTCCCTTTTTCATGGCAAAATGGATCATAGCAAAGTTCATTACCACGATCAGAAGAAACCTACAGTCTTGTACAGTGAAGCTCAACTCACATGCAGAATGCTTGCTATGTGTGAAAAATTATTCCTCCTCCTCATGGAAAATGTATAGGTGACTGCAGTTGGGTGGAAGAGTTCAGGAAAGAAAGGAAGAGGTTCTGTATTGCATATTTTAATTGTTATTTCTTTTTGTAAGCTACAGAGAAATTCAGTTGAAGTGTGGATATTTTAAATCCGTTACTGTATCTGTGGCCCCCTGGTAGTGCAGCAGGTTAAACTACTGAGCTGCTGAACTTGCTGACTGAAAGACTGGCAGTTCAAATCCGGGAAGCAGGGGTGCTCCTGCTATTAGCCTCAGCTTCTGACAACCTAGCAGTTTGAAAACGTGCAAATGTGAGTAGATCAATAGATACTGCTTCTGTGAAAAGGTAACTGCTCTCCATGCAGTCATGCTGGCCACCTGACTTTGGAGGTGTCTACGGACAATGCCAACTCTTTGGCTTAGAAATGGAGATGAGCACCACCCCCCAGAGTCAGACATAATGTCAGGGGAAATCTTTACCTTTACCTTTATTGTCTCTGCAGTTTATAGTGATGCTAAAGCAAACTTATGATGTGTGCGTTGTGGTTCAGCCTGTGATTGTTTCTCTGCGATTTTAGAGGACATTGAACAAGCCTCTGTAGACACACAGGAGTCTGGTTCTGTACCTGATGGAGCTGGGGATTCTGGGAATGTTAGGCTAGCCATAGATTTTCAGTTAGAGGCAGATTCAGAGGCTGACAGCCTGAGCTAGCTTTCTCAAGCGAACCAAGGTCAGACTCTGATCGGAATGTGGTAATTGCAGATGTAAATTCTTCTGACTCCCCTGAGTTAGTTAGGAGAAGAGCACTTTGTCAACAGAGAAAGGCAGGTGAAGGGAGGCACCAGTCACAGTGCCACTTAATGAGAAAAGGCCCTCTTGAGAGTTCTCAAGAAAAAAGACATAGTTTTCTAGGTATAAAGCAGATTTGATTTGGGCTATCTTTTAGAGGAATCAACATCTGGATAGAAGTAACATGTATAAGTTCCTCTCTCTTGTTCATCTCATGGTATGGGATTCATGGACTCATGTTTTAAATATCAAGTATTTTCCTGGTTTCCTGTATTGCTTCAAGAATCAAGTGGTTTCATGAACTCTTGTGTTTTTGGATCTTTGTTATAGCTGCCATGTATTTTTGATCTTCTGGACTGCTGTGTTCTATCAAGATTCCAGTTTAAAAATCTTACTTGCATTTTGGTGTCATGGATTATTGTTTCCAAGTCATTCCAAGTGCCTTGTTTTACAGGGATTATATTTTGTATTGACTTTTTATCTTTTACCTATTTTTGCTGGAGCTATTTTTATATCTTAATAAACTGCTTTGCTTATAATTGAACTTTGGAGTGTGAGATTGGTTTCAAGTTGCCCTTCCAGCCCTGGTGTGCTACAGAGGGTTTCTTAGCAAGACTTATCAAAGTGGGTTTGCCATTGCACTTCCTCTGAGGTTGAGTGAGTATGACTTGCCCAAGGTCATCCAACGGGTTTGCCTGGATGAACAGAGATTCAAAACCTTGTCTCCAAAGTCATAGCTGAATGCTCAAACCACTATACCATGTTGGCTTTGCTAATTTTAACATTTCAAAAAAAAAACCAGCAACAAGTAATCCAGTCTTCTCAAACATGTATTTTTTTATTTATAAGCTCCAGGTAGCATACATCTCTTCATACAGAACTTTGTTCCCCATTATGTCTCTATGAGGTCATTAGATTAGGAAAGATTGACTGGCCTGGGATCACTCAGTGGATGTTATGTCTGAATTGAGATTTTGAATTCATCCCTCTCTAGTTCAATACTCCGTAGTTTTATGGGGTTCATAAAACATCAAAAATCCTGGGTCCATATTTGTACAGCCATTCCATTGAAATGTCAGGTGGAAACTTCTGAGAGAAGAATAACCATTTATATATTTGCAATATATAAAGCATTTCAAAAAGACATACCCAATTTGAGATCTCTATATCTCTGAAATTGGGTCCATCAGTTTGAAAACCCTACTTTTCAACAGAGGCAGTCCAGACTGCACTGAAATAGCATTTGCAAAGGATGCAAAGTAATTGCATGTCAGTAATAAATTGTTGAAATGGCTACTTGTTGAAATTGCTACTGCTGTGCCAGCAGTTTTGGAGTCAGCTACACAATCAGCAAATTACTAGTAAAAAGAAAAAAAGCCATACTAGTCAGTGCACATGAGCTACAGTTTAGAACAGAGTAATGGCAGCTGGCAGGTTCTTTCCCTGAGCAACTAAGGGCCCTTCCACACAGCCAAAATATCAAAGCAGATAATCCATAATATCTACTTTGAACTGGGCCCCTTCCACACAGCTGTATAAAATCTCACATTATCTGCTTTGTACTAGGATATATGGCAGGGTGGACTCAGATAACCCTGTTCGAAACAGATATTATTAATTATCTACCTTAATATTCTGGGTTATATGGCTGTGAAGAAGGGCCCAGGGGCTCTAAAAATATCACAGATGGGTATTATTATGATTATTATTTCTCACTCTCTCTTTGGAGGGAGAAGGACAACAAACAGCAGGGGAGTGAAGCAATTGCCTACTTATTTGCAAATAATAATATTAAAGAATTTTATTTAAATACACCAAATATGTCTGCTTTCAGATGATGTCCATGGATATTGAGATAAATAAATGAGACAAATGTACTTGTTCAATACATTTTTTTCTCAGATAACTATACAAAGGATTGCAGTCTTATAGATTTTAATAAATGAATGTTCCAAATTCTTTCCTGTTTCTGTGGCACCTGAAAACGATACTAAATACTAAAATACAATTGATGCATCTATTATGGTTCAGCTAGAATGCAGTGGTGGTGATACTGAATAATTATGCTTGTGACAGAACATGTAGAGTGAAACTATAGTGAGGTTGTAGTGGTTAGCTAGGACAGTGGATAAGAGGATCCATGCCCAGTGAGCATATACTAAACCTGAAAGGCCAGAACAGAAGAACAACTCAACACATTGAACACAAAACACACAACATTGTACAACATTCCAAGAAATGAAAAAAGGGAGAAAAACTAAAAACATAGTTTATTTCACAATGCCTTCTTTAAAAAAAAAACATCACATGCAGAAGTCAGGATTCAAACATCCCCAGCTAAGGATACCTTGCCTATAAGTATACTCCAAATATCTGCACTGATGAGAAAGAGGAATAATTAATATACTGAGGGCCCTTCCACACAGCCATATAACAGAATATCAAGGTGGAAAATCCCACAATATCTGGTTTGAACGGGAGGCCCTTCCACACAGCTGAATAAAATCCCACATTATCTGCTTTGAAGTGGGATATATATATTAGGCGATCCCTTATTGTCTGAGTAGGATTGTCTTCCAAGATCGGTGTACTGGCGGTGGGTCCGTAGGTGACTGTGGAGCCCTATTCTTGATCTGCATGTTCTCCCGCAGTGAGGGCATTGGTTTCCAGGTGGAAGGCGGTCCCAGTTGGGGTTGGCTTGACACGCCTTCCTCTTGGCACATTTCTCTCTTTCACCCTCCATTCATGCCTCTTCAAATTCTGCAGCACTGCTGGTCACAGCTGACCTCCAGCTGGAGCGCTCAAGGGCCAGGGCTTCCCAGTTCTCAGTGTCTATGCCAGAGTTTTTAAGGTTGGCTTTGAGCCCATCTTTAAATCTCTTTAAATCTCATTTTCTGTTCTTGAGTTCGGAGTAAAGTAACTGCTTTGTGAGTTGGTGGTCGGGCATCCGAACAACGTGGCCAGTCCAGCAGAGTTGATGGCATTGTTTTAATGCTGGTGGTCTTTGCTTCTTCCGGCACGCTGACATTTGTTCGCTTGTCTACCTAAGAGATTTGCAGGATTTTACGGAGGCAGCGTTGATGGAATCGTTACAGGAGTCGCATGTGACGTCTGTAGATAGTCCACGTTTCACAGGCATATAGCTTTATAAACAAGCACTGTGGTATCCCTACGGCTGTCCTGGTCCTCAAACACTCTCTGCTTCATTTGGAAAAATGCTGCACTCACAGAGCTCATTATCATCATATTTAATTACTTATTAATCGCCCTCCATCCGGGATGCTCTAGGCGATTTACAAACTAAATTGTAAAAGCTCAGGCGGTGTTGTATTTTGGTGTCAATGTTGACTGGGATATATAGCAGTGTGGACTCAGATAACCCTGGGCATTTCCACACAGCCCTATATCCCAGAATATCAAGGCAGAAAATCCCACTATGTCTGCTTTGAACTGGGTTATCTGCCATATATCCCAGTTCAAAGCAGATAATGTGGGGTTTTATTCAGCTGTGTGGAAGGGGCCTGAGAATAATTCCCCTGATCGGCCATGCTTGGCGGCCAGGTCTGTTGGTGGTTGCCATGGCTACGAAAAGCCCAGGCAGCTTGAGTGCGCGCTGCTGTGCTGTCTGCAGCAGTGCTGAAAGCGCAGCAGGACCAGCCATTTTTGCAAAGGGGGGAAGCGAGAGAGAGAGAGTCTTTAACCGTGGAGTAAACAAAGGCACGCGCACATATTAATAAAGCTTGTGTCTGGAGGTAGGAGGGGGGAGGTAGAGGTAATTCGTTTTTGTGCGGGAAAGTGAGGCAAGGAAAGTAGTCCCGCCTGTCTGTACGAGCCGGGAAGGTGGAACGCAGCCTGACAGGCGCGAGACACCTCCTCTCCGGCTTTTGTGTGAGTGGGAGTGTGTGGCGGTGCGCGCGCCGGTTTGCTCGCTCGCGCCTCGGCAAAAGAGCAGGCAGGTTGCCCTCGCCTCTGAGACAGAAAGGGAGAGAGAGAGAAGGAGGGAGGGAGGAGTGGCCACTGCCAGCCAGGCTCTGAAGCCTCCTCTTGCTACTGCTGCTGCTGAAGCGAAAGCACTGAAGAAGGCTTTCTATTAGCGCGAGGGAGAGTGGAGAGCGCGCGCGCCAGCAGGTGCGGACTCTCCCACTGAGGCGGGCTTCTGGAGTGCCATTAAGGAAAGAAGAAAGAACGAGGCGCGCGCTCGCTCGCTTGCTTCCTTCCTCGCGCGCTCTCTCTCTCTCTCTCTCCCCCAGGATTGGGTGCTGCTCTCCCTCTTGAGCATCTGGCTGAGGATTTAGTCGGAGGCAGAGGCGGCTGTGGGAGAGAGGTAAGCTTTTGTTTGCCCGCCTCTCCCTATGTGTGTCTCTTTCTCTAGCTCCCTCTCTCTCTCTCTCTCTCTCTCTTTCTTTCTTTCTCTCTATCTCCCTCCACTTTGTCTCTCTTCCAGACCGGTGCCTCTATGGGCACCTGCATATACAGTACATCTCTTCCAAGATATCTATCTATCTATCTATCTATCTATCTAGCTGGACACAGACATTCCTTGCAGGGTACCACACTTGCTGGGCAGCTATCCCACTTTCTGCACATATAGATCATTTCCTGGGTATACACCTTCCCTGATGACATATACATTACTCTTGTAAGTCATATGTATCATTTGCAAGATATAAATATATCTCTTGCTGGACACAGACATTCCTTGTAGGATGTATACCACACTTGCTGGACAGATATCCCACTTTCTGGACATATAGATCACTTCCCTGGTGACATATATATCACTCACAGGATATATACATTGCTCGCTGGACATCTATATCACTTCCTGGATATACACATTCCCTGATGATGTCACCACTCATAGGACATATATATTACTTTCTGGGCATCTATATCAGTTGCTGGATATACACATTCCTCGATGGCATATCCATAACTTTCTGTACACCTATATCATTTACTGGATATACACATTCTTTGATGGCATATACATCACTCACAGAATATATACATTACTCGCTGGACATTTATTTCACTTCCTGGATAATCATATTCCTTGATGACATATGCATCACTTACAGGAGATATACATTACTTTCTGGACTTATATATCACTTCCTGGATATTCACATTTCTTGATGACATATACATCACTCATGGGACTTTCTGGACACCTATATGACTTCCTGGATATATACATTCCTTGATTACATATGCATCACACATAGGACATATACATTATTCGCTGGACATCTATATCACTTCCTAGATATAAACATTCCAGATGACATGCATCACTCACAGGACATATATTTGCTGGACATCAATATCACTTCCTGAATATATATATATATATTCCTTGATGACATATACATCACTCACAGAACATATACATTACTTTCTGGACATATATATCACTTACTGCACATACACATTCCTGGATGACATATACATCACTCAAAGGACATATACATTACTCGCTTGACATAGACATAGGTACCGCTTGCTGGACGTAGATCTCACTTGCTGGATATATACATTCCTCGCAGGACATATACATCACTTCCTGGACACATTCAGCACTTGCTAGAGATATAAATCACTTGGAGGACACAATACATCACTCCCCCCACCACCCCAAGTTCTTTGTATCAGTTCAATTGCAAGGGTGACTATTTCTCCCTCTCTCCAAGAAAGCATTCTTTCAGTACATATTGAAACATCTAGCATTCACTTCTGGCATCTCCCTCATCTTTTACATGTACTTATCCCTATAGTTTTCTGAGTGGCACCTTGTTGTTGTTGTTGTTGTTGTTGTTTTGTAAACCACGTTTTGAACAATGAGACATCGGTATTCTAGGATGTATTTTTCCTCCTTTTCTCTCCAAAGCTTAAATCTCTGAGTCTCTCCTGTCAGTGTTGACATTACACTGGGCGCTAATGTGGTTGTAACGCGATTAAAAGCACACCACCTCCCTCTTGCACTCCTGCTCCTGCCTCGTATTTGCATTGTCTCATATGTAGGTCATAAGGGAAAAAGCGATGTCCGCACTGGTTTTATGGCAGGGCTGGATGACTTCCCCAGCCGGCACCCATCACAGGTGGAAGAAGCTGCTTCCTCACACCTCCTCCTGCCCAAAGGTGCTCCCACATTGCACACTCAGCTTCCACAACAGCACAATGTGCCTGTTGTGTGTATGTTTAGGTCTCAGCTTTGAGATGACATGAAAGAAAGGAAGACAGCTTCCCACATGGACCAAGAATGCAGCTAGGCAGACCAGAATTAGCGAGTGGATTCCTTTGAAACACTATCAAGAGCCATGGGGACAAAGGAAATTAAAGAGACACACACCAAACATCTATAGACAGGCAAAACAGAAGGATCTTGCAATGGGAAAAATCTGTTAGGTTCCTTGTTGCTGCCAGCATTGTTCCTTGAAAGACGTCACAAACCTGGTCAATAATATGACTGTTGACAAAGCAGAGACATGCATTTTAAAATGTATACAAATGGACCTCAGATTACTAGTAGTGCTTTATGGTTGCTCCCTCCGTCTTTTTCATGATTTGCAGCTGCTTAGAATACTGTTGGAATGCTGGGTGTGCTTTCAGTTTATTGGAAGTCTCTTTGGCTTTCAAAGAACAACAGGATAATTTTAATACTGAAATAAAAGAATGACTTCTAGATTAAACATTACATGCTCCTGTGCCTGTCAGTACGTCAATTAGTAACAAAGGTGGCATTATGCACCGGTGAAGCAAGCAATGAGAGTGTCAAAGTCCAAGATGTTTTCGAATCTCTTTGCAATACCATATGAGCATATGTCTCTGTGCATACATACATGCATGTATATATATATGTTTGTGTGTATATGTATGTATGTATGTATGTATGTATGTGTTATCTTTCTATTAAAGGGGATTGGTGCATACTGTAGACATCATAGATAGAATTCAGATTCAGTTCTAGGATCTTTTGTTTTCCCAGTCTCTTCTGAGGCACCTTCTTTGTTTTTGTGTTGTCTTTTATAGTTTCTTCCCCCATGCACTTGATTTGGCTTGTTTAATGTTTCCTGTCTTCTTCCCCATATGTTTCAAGGTGTCCAGGAAGAGTGGGACTTGACCTTGCCCCTCTTGGTTTCATTGTATCATTCTTTCGAGTATCACGTAGATTCTATCAATTATTTAACCTGTGGTTAGGCATACGTTTCTGTGCCAGGTCTGCTGGCAATGCCAAGCGTGCTTCAGACATTACAAAATTCCAAAGACAGTTTCACAGAAGGATTAATGGGGAACATAATGTGTGAAGTTTGCTGTTGTGCAAACATGCTGGGTAGTGAGTTCTACATTTTAATCTCTACACAGAAGTGCCTTTGTTGCTGGGAAATTTGTCACGCTTGGGTAAGGGTCAACCAAGAGATGACAAAAATAACAATATTTAAAGGGATCTATGCTGGTTAGGAATACAAAGGGCCCTTCCACATAGCCATATAACCCAGAATATCAAGGCAGAAAATCTCACAATATCTGCTTTGAACAGGGTTATCTCAGTCCACACTGCCATATATTCCACTTCAAAGCAGATATTGTGGGATTTTCTGCCTTGATATTCTGGGTTATATGGCTTTGTGGAAGGGCCCTGAATTAGTGGTATTTCAGATTCTCTTGAATTCCATTTCCCATTACCTCTGATCTTTGACTCCCTGGGGCTAATGGGAGGTATAGTCCAATCACAAAGAACTGCTGCATGCCTCTACTCCTTTCTTCTGAGCAGTGTTGTCAATAGATACAAAACATTGGGGTATTAAGAGCTGCTCTGTGGACTGGATGTACATTTCTGATGGACAGTATTATACCAGATCCCATTATGTCCACTGCACTCCTTATTGATAAATTGCTTCCTGGCCACCACTTGTTTATTTCCTCTATGTATGGTAGAACACTTGGAGGAGAGGAAGTTAGGGTCTTATCTCATATAAGACTTCAGGCACACATAAAAGCCTTGAGATCATAATGCCATTTGCAGTCTTGGAAGCACTAAAGAAAGATCCTGTACTGCTCTTGATTTGGAAGAGCCTTCAAAACCTGGAAACAAAGGGTCCCAAGTGGCTTCTAGCCTATTCAGGCATTTCTCACAAGCAATTAACAATCACAGCCCTTGCCCCCATCCATCCTTTAGGCTCAGGATATTTGGAGAAGTTGTCTGGCTTCATTGGTGTAGGTCCCAACCATCCACTCCTGAATCCACCTTGTGATATGAAACTCAATGTGATCAAATCTGCATGTGACACTGAGCCCTTCACCAGTCTCACTAAATCCTCTGAACCTGCCACAGAACTTGGGAAAGGTCATATGAGAGTCACCAGCGGAAGTGGGGTGGGTAGACTTACCCCTGAATACATTGGAGAAGTTGTGCCTAAATTTGTGTATGGCTGTTGATCCCAGTGCCAAGAAATGTATGACTGTTACTATTCTGCATTGCTAAAAGTCTCGAGAGTGAGGCAATAAAAATTTGTTCAAGTAGTGTCTGTGAGGTGGTATTTGGGCTGACCTATAAACAGTATACAGTACAACCCCTGTATCCACAGAGAATAGGTTCCTAGACCGCCCATGGATACTTGAAACCATGGGCAATAGTAAACCCCATCTCTTGACTAGGTCTGGAATCATACCATAAAATTGTACAGGAGGACCTAGAAAAGCCCATAAACACTTTATTGGTGGTATATATTTTGTGGAGTATGGATGAGTAAAACCGTGCATATCAAATCCATAGATAAAGGGTCAAACTAGATTCCATTTTCCCTCTTTTGCCTCATTTACTTCAGGTTATATTTTTGACCTTATGTATTTCAGTCATGTGCCAACTGTGTTTGCCATATAACGAAAGGCTTGAAAGGGAGCCTATGATTTGCACATAAAAGAGTAATCAATTGAGGAAAACTACACCGTTTCCGCTCCATTGTCTTGCTTCATGGTATATTGTTACGTCTAGTGATTTTTCCTCCCTCAGCTTCGTTCCATGGTTGGAATTGGGGTTGGAAGAAAACTGAATGAGTGACAGATTGTGGTAAAGTTGGGTTGGATCTACACTGCCAAATAATGCAGTTTGAACTGCATTGAATGCATTATTTGGGTCTACACTGGTTATATAATGAAGTTCAGTCTGCATTATTTGGCAGTGTAGATGCACCCTAATCAATCAAACTCATTAAAAGCTAGGTATAAATTAGATATGGGATCATGTGGCTCAACTGTACTTATGCCTGCCTTTCCTCTCGGTAACTAAAAGTGATGAGCATAGTTCGCTTATTCCCCATCGTC